ACACACACACACACACACACACACACACACACACACACACTAGTAGTCAAAAGTTGGGAATAATTAAGATCTTATGCTCACCAAGGCTGCATTTATTTAATCAAAAAAATACAGTAAAAACAATAATGTGAAATATGATTGTAATTAAAAAGTTATTTCTGTTTTTATTTTAAACTCAGAAATCATTCTAATATGCTATTTTGTGCTCAAGAAATATTTATTATTATTAGTGTTGAAAACTGTTTCTTTGCAGCTTAATAACTTTGTGTTAGCCGTGATACACTACCATACACTCCTAAAGGTTGTTGGGGTAAGTAATATTAAAACAACAACAACAACAACAAAGAAATAAATACTCTTATTCAGCAAAGATGCGCATGATAAACAGATCAAATGTGACAGACATAAAGACATTTATAATTTCACAAAAGACTGGTATTTCAAATAAATGCTTTTGAACTTGAAAAACCACAAAAATATTAAGCAGTAAAACACTGATAATAAGAACCATTATCAATATTTGAGCATCAATAATAGTGGAGCACCAAAATAGCATAATAAAAATTTGAACCATTATAACTGAGCACCAATAATAATTGAGTACAAATCAGCATGTTAGTCATGTGATAATGAAGACTGGAGTAACGACTGCTGAATACTTAGCTTTGCATCACAGGAATAAATGACATTTTAAGATATAACTGAAATAGAAAACAGTTATTTTAAATTGTAATAACCCTTTACAATATGTGACCCTGGACCACAAATCCAGTCATAAGTAGCAGGGGTATATTTGTAGTAATAGCCAACAATACATTGCATGGGTCAAAATGATCGATTTTTCTTTTATGCCAAAAATCATTAGGATATTTAGTAAAGATCATGTTCCATGAAGATATTTTGTAAATTTCCTTCCGTAAATATATCAAAACTTAAGTTTGATTAGTAATATGCATTGCTAAGGACTTAATTTGGACAACTTTAAAGGCGATTTTCTCAATATTTAGATTTTTTTGCACCCTCAGATTCCAGATTTTCGAATAGTTGTATCTCGGCCAAACGACAGGCAGCCTTATGACTGGTTTTGTGGTCCAGGGTCACATATGACTTTTTTGTTGTATTTTTGAGTGTAAGAGACTCGCCAAGGAATTATTCCAAACTTTTGGCCACCAGTGCACATATACATATATATAACATGAATTCCAATGGCTTCCTGCTTGTTCACACTTTTTTATGCATTTGACAAAACAAGATTTTAATGACCAATCCTAATGTGCTCTGACTCTACAATCCATCACTGTTTAACAGATCTCACTGCACATTTAAATCTTCACTCACATTTCAACACCCTCTCTATGTGTGTTTTAGTTACAAGTGTGTAAAAGCACTGGGCTTGAGTTGATGTGATTTACTGCCATCCATCCCTTTTTGTGCTGTTTTTCCATCAAGCACCCCTCTTTATTATTACATCTGACCATAAAATCCTAATTACCTTCACTGACCCTATAAATACCATTTAACAGCTCACATACTCACACACACACCGCACATCTTTCATTATATCGGGCTGTAAGTCTTTGTCAGTGCAGCGATTGATTGGTGGATGAAGTGAGTGAACACTGAATGAATAATAGAACTGGAATTCAGTTCTACTTCAAAGTGTTCAGAGTTCAGAATGTTCTGAACATGTTGTCCACATCACGACGAGGAAAATGACAGTGTTAACCTGTATGGAAATGAGCCTCAATTATGTATGATAAAAAATGTGCTTGAACGCACACTTTCTGATAGTTTTTGCATAAGAATGGGCTGTTAAATCACAGCACGCACTTCTGACAGTTTATTACAGACCGATACTCTTGAACCACGCTAAATCTTTAATGCCACATATCATCTAGATGGCTTCACAGAGCAAAAAGCAAGAGACACCGTTATCCATCCCTGAACAAAAACAAAGTGCTTTTCGATATTCACAACTGCATTTGCAAGCACTTCAGAGCAAACACTGTGTGTAACGGGGCTGACGAGACGTGAGACGTGTGGATCCATCTGCAGGCTTTATTAAAGAGACGTGGTAAACAGGCAGGGTCAAACAATGGCAAACAGGTATATGGCGGGCAAAACACAAGAATAGTCCCAGGGCTAGCGTAGGTCACCGATCGGCAGACAGAATCACAGGGGCGAGACGAGAGGGAAAAATCCACAAAAACAGGCAAAGATCAGAAACCGCGAAAACGGGCAAGGCAAGGCAAAAACAAGGAAAACTCAGAGACTCGGAATGGGACTCGGAATGGGGTACGGGCTAAACAATACTCGGCAGAGAAAGGTGGTTAGAGTGGGTGTTATATAGTGAGTGAGGTGATTAGAAACAGCTGTGTGCAATGAGTGCAATCAGTGCAGTGTGCAAATCGTGCAAAGAATGATGGGATATGTAGTCCGGGGTGCTATGCAACAGTTTGTGTTGTGCGAGAGTCAATGTAATGGAAAGGGTGACCTCTGGTGGTGAATAAACGGAAGTCCATGGACCGAATTCGTGACACTGTGAATAATTCAAGTAAGCCATCCTCATATTGCGATATTACAGGGAGATCACTTTGTCTGGGTTTATGGGCCTTCACATAGCATATGCTGCTAAATGAACCTTTTCTACTGATGCTACTAAAATAAATCCATTTGCAGGCCTGAAGTCTTCTTTATTGTTACATTTGATTCAACTGTTTTGATAGAATAAAATAAAATGCATAATGACGTGAAAGATGATCTAGTGGTTACTCTATAAAACGTTTTTACTTGATAATTAAATTGCTTTAATTGATATAACCTACTACATTCACGTTGAGTCAGTGCACTAAATAATTTCACTTAATCATCTTGCCATGTGACTATCACTCAACCTTATTTAGAGCCAAAAAGACTATGAAAGCTGGAGAAAACGTTACACTATATAGAGAATAAAACTGCTTGTTCAAGGTCATGAACATATACTTTGCACATTCTTTCAAATAAAAAGGTAGAAATTTCATGTACAGAATAAAGAAAAGGATTAAGTGTAATATTTTAACGAAAACACATTTAACTGTATCTCACACTAGCTGTAACAATACATCTTTTTCGCAGTCTTTAGCTGTGTCTCATTTAGAAGGCTACGAATCCTCTCTAGGATGCGTATACGGAGTGTCCTCAAACGAGACGGCCTTCGTAGGACGGGCGGAAAAGGAAACAGGAAGTATCACGTTGCTATGCCAACACATAGCGTCGTTGCACTCTCACACTTAAGGAAAAATTTATTTGGAAAATTATTTCTAAATTTGGAAAGTAATTTGAAAAGAAAATGTTTTTACTTGTTTTATTTTATTCAATGTTTGAGGAGCTACAGCGTACGTACAACAGACATCTGTTAGAGAAAAAAAGGAGGAGGATATCAAGAACAAAGTTTTACCGGTGGAGATTTGAGGTAAGTTGTAGCATAGTTCCTTTAATATAATATTATTTAATATAAGTTCATATATATAAAGCCTTTGGTTGTAGGGCATTGAGGCAATAATTATATAACTACATTTATCTTACTACACATATTACTATATACATTATATACAATGTTATTATTATTGTGATCCCACTGTTTTTAAAAGTGCTACGAATTACATAATTTATCATAATTTAACCCAGTGTTCACAATTTTAAGATAATTTTAGGAAAGCTATTAAGCAAAAAACAAACAAAAAGAAATACTGTACTAAAGTTGTGTCTATTAAACTACATATTAAATATACATGAATGAAATTTAATGCTGTAAAACTTGATTATAAATACATTAAACACAATACTGAACATTAAAAAAATTACCTAATGTAATGCTGTAGATCTGTTATATATACATGATTAAACACAATATTGAACATCAAGAATGAACTGAAAAACTATATTATATATAAATGATTATACACAATAGTATGTAGTTGTACATATCATTTTTATTATTTTGTTTCATACAGACATACATCAAGTATTGCAGGCTCAATCCCCATGTCCCTGTTCTTGAGACGTTTTTTAATGGAGGGGATACAAAAGCAGACTTTCGTCTGACGAGAGAGAATATTTTACTTACCCCACTGGCAGATAATTTTACTTGTTTTAAGCAAAATGCACTTAATTTAGATTGTTCCCCCTGGAAACAAGACTAAATATCAGTCAATTGGCTTATCTAGTAAAATTATCTTGATTTAAGAATTTGTAGATATTTTGACTAGAAACAAGACAAAAATACTAAGTAAGATAAGCCATTTTTTTGCAGTGTTTCTCTCACCAATCACCAGGCATTTGGTAAAGCTGTTGCAGCAATTGATGGATGCCATGTGAGAATAAAACCACCAGCTGGACCTGATGAACAGTTATAAAAACAGAAAGTTGTTTGCCTCCATCCTGCTTCAAGGGATATGCGACCATCAATTTTTGTAGGGTACCCCGGGAATGTCCACGACTCACGGGTGCTTAAGAATAGCCCCATTTACAAACAGGCAAAGTATCCACCTCAGGGCTTTTCCCTCCTCGGCGATGGTGGGTACCCCTGCACAGAGAAGCCAATCGCAATCATGACACCATTTAAGAATCCAGCCTCACCATCTACTCAGCGCTTCAATGCACATCTTTCCAAAGGCCGCTCAATTATTGAGCGTGCTTTTGGAATGATGAAGACGCGATTTAGAGCCGTCTTCCTTCAGGCACTTGAAGTGCATCCAACATTTGCACCAAAGGTTGCATTATTTTTCTGTATATGACCTTTACTTAACACACAACTTCAATGTCAGATAAAATACAATTGATAAAAACAATTTAGGGTGACAAAATGTTTTCATATTTGTGTGTATACAGGTGATAGCGGCATGCACCATGCTGCACAACATCTGCCTTGGTGTTGGCGACATTATACCACCAGACGTCAGCCAAGAAGAAGAGGAAGATGATGTGGAGGCATGCAATCAAGGGGAGGCAGTATCTGGTGCAGCATGGCGTTTGAGATTGTGCAACCAAGTGTCTGCCTTACAGGATGTCAACCAGGACCACGACTACATAAATCATCCTAATTAAAAAAGTAAGTTGAACACACTAAATACAATTTAATTTAATTTGGCTACAAATACTGATTTTAAAATGAAATGTATAATTAACTATACTTAAGTTTAATATAGTTTATACAGCATTATAAATGGATAACTGATTACCTTTTCATGGAATTTTAAAATCCTTAACCCAGAATATTTTTTTTTCTTCTTCTTTTGTTCTTAGGCTTACTAGGAAGTCAGCATGAGAGCTCACACAACACATGACATCTTTTTCACGATTTATCTTTTATTTTTGTTAGTGTAACCAAAGATATTTATTCATTAATGATTGTGTTTAGCCATTTAGAATGTATTAATTGAAAGATTTAGTGAAATGTTGACAACAGAATTACCTTTTTAATATTTGTAAGTAACAATAGTAAGTAAATATTTTAAATAGTAAATAGTAGTAAATATTGTAAATATTTTTGTTACATTTTATCGATTAATTTTTCGAGTAAATTAAAGAGCCTATCACTCCTCGCCCTGTCTTCTACATCTCTCCTTTCTTCCCACTCCTTCTGACGTGCCATGTCTTCCTTCAGGAGCTCAAGAAGAGGATCTGATTTGTTTTTTCTCTTTCTTGGCCGTGACTGCTCTATCCCTGCCCTCTCCTGCTGTTCTGCTTCCTGGGTAGGCTCAACAGAACTGCATCCTGGCTGTGGTTCGTCATCAGGCAGTGAAGCAATGAGAACGGGGAGAATTGAAGGCCTCTGACCCAACATCTCATCCATCAGAACAAACCACGGCCAGGTTTCAGCAGTTGGCTTTCCGTTGTTCAGGCGCTCACCTGACCCTGGATGTTTGCATTCCTAAGACAAAAGAAATGTTAATGGTGGTGGCATAAATACTCACTCATGCCACCTCTGAGCCTCATTAAATGTCTGAAAATACACCTACGAGCCACTTTTGTGTTCTTCTGTGCACTTCTGTAGTACAAATTATTTTGCTTATACTGATTTTACATGATTGGTAACTTATTCCTCTTATTCTATTGTTTAATTAGAAAGTGTAAAAAGCTTATGAATATACATTTTTGAATTTGACATAAAAGATGACATACTTTTAATAAAATTTGAAAAAAGCCATAAAAAAAAAAAAGAGTTAAAGAGTTAAATATCCTGTTAAATAAGCCCCTGTTAAAGAGTCAAATATCACCTCGTAATGGGAAGGCAAATTTTTGATCAGAATTTTTGATTATTGATGAGAAGGTGCTCCTGAATCTTTTGACTGTGCCAATTATTATCAACATAATGTATTCTATATGAATTGAAACTTAAAAAGTTCATTTTTATAGAGTTGAGACAACTTAGACATGGGACTGTACAAGGCCTACATCTTAGCTTACCTTACACTTTTTTTTTAATTGTCCCACTTTTTCTTTGCTTGTGCTGGTGTTATTTTACTGGACAGGTCCATTTTCTCCAGAATAAATCTATAATCATAAAAATAACATAAGCATAACATCACAATTTACAGTGAAAACTCCTTATCCTTAGAAATAAGACTTCCCTTCTGCCTAACATAGGGGTTGCACACGCTGGCCCTGGAGAGCCGCTGTCCTGCAGAGTTTAGCTCCAACCTTAAATCAAACACCTGAACAAGCTAATCATGGTTCTAAGGGTTACTGGAAAGCAACAGGCAGGTGAGTTTGTATAGGGGGTTGGAGCAAAACTCTGCAGGACTGGTCTAGCCTGGTCTAACATGTCCTTCTTGACAGAACTTTAATTTTTCCAATCAGGCCTTTCAGGCAAGAATGAGATTAATTCTGCTCAAAAAGAAGAAAGACTGACTGCCTACTTTTTAATTCTAAGATCTTACCTCCAACCATATAAGGCTGTATTTTTAGCTCCTGTGAAGAGATCAGAATGTTCCTGTTCCATTTTCCTTGCTCCCTATTCAAAACAAAATTTAACAGGACTTATTTCTACATGTATTTTTACGGTTGATTTTGCCCTCTTGTAGTGTTTGGTCATTTTAGATTTTTTTCATTTTTTTTCTGAATTTGTCTTATTTTAACTGTAATAATAATGCAAAAAAACAATACTTAAACATTTCGAACAAAAATCTAAATTTGGACAAAAAAGTCTTATACTAGATAAATACACACACACTCTTATTCCTATCATTATGAGCACATTCCATAGGCATAATGGTTTTTACACTGTACAAACATATTCTATTCCCCTAAACCTACCCATTTTAAAATAGTTTTATATTAAAACTATACTTATTTTCTATACTTGATATAGACAAATTATTTTCTATACTTGATATAGACCAATTATTTTCTATACTTGATACAGAAAAGAGGTGTATGATTTATTTGAATATTGTCTATCTTAAAGAAAAAAATGTCAGTGAACTAAAATATTGAATATTAATTTCATAACACTAAAAGCAGAAATGAATTTATTATAAAATTATTGTCTCTGGTCAGTTTCTACAGTAAACACTATATGAAAGTGACCCCGAAATGTAATACCAGAGGGTTAAACAAATGAATGATTTCTCGCCTTGCTAGCAAAGTACTGTTAAACGTTTAAAAATCACTACTTGTGACCATGTTTATCACACCTGTAATACAACTAAAAAAATGAAGAACTTTGAAGTACTTACATTTAAACACCACATCTTGTCATACCGCTTGTGTGTAGATCTGCCGGCGCCGCCATTTTTTCAAATAAACGACGGTTATTTATGGCGACGCAAAGAATTGTGGGTTATCTGTAGCAGCGAAGGATACACTTCATGCATCCTCCAAATTCCTGTGAAAGAAGGTCGCATTCGAAGGTCGCATTCGGAGTGTCCTGCTTGCTTTTCTGAAATGAGACAGCCTCGATGACGTATGCAGCCTTCGAATGCAACCTCTGGAGGACGCAGCCTTCTAAATGAGACACAGCTTTTGTCTCTGAATCAACTTTCCTTTTTTGGTCAACACCACCAAAGCCTGTCTTTTTCCCATGTCCTAAATGATGAAAACAGGAACAGTTCTACTTTTCTATGCACCTTTAAACACATTTTCTTGAATAAAACAAGCTAATTCCAATTTTTAGGCCAGCTCGGAGTGTCCTACTTGCTTTTCTGAAATGAGACAGCCTCGATGACGTATGCAGCCTTCGAATGCAACCTCCGGAGGACGCAGCCTTCTAAATGAGACACAGCTTTTGTCTCTGAATCAACTTTCCTTTTTTGGTTAACACCACCAAAGCCTGTCTTTTTCCCATGTCCTAAATGATGAAAACAGGAACAGTTCTACTTTTCTATGCACCTTTAAACACATTTTCTTGAATAAAACAAGCTAATTCCAATTTTTAGGCCAGCTGTCAAACATTTTACGGTGATATTTTCATTAGAAATTCTGTTGCTGTTGCTGTCTTAATCAACATCATTTAATTTCTGCAATTATAGTTATTATTGATTAATTACCTCTCAACTAATTTCTAGGTTACCATTTGCATTTATGAGTTATCTACAGCTGAAAAAATATCACCATTTAATCAGTTGAATCTTTTCACCACGTCACTCAATATGATTCATTGTTTTAAAACAATGACCCTCAAGAAAAAAGTTTATGGCGACGCAAAGAATTGTGGGTTATCTGTAGCAGCGAAGGATACACTTCATGCATCCTCCAAATTCCTGTGAAAGAAGGTCGCATTCGAAGGTCGCATTCGGAGTGTCCTGCTTGCTTTTCTGAAATGAGACAGCCTCGATGACGTATGCAGCCTTCGAATGCAACCTCCGGAGGACGCAGCCTTCTAAATGAGACACAGCTTTTGTCTCTGAATCAACTTTCCTTTTTTGGTTAACACCACCAAAGCCTGTCTTTTTCCCATGTCCTAAATGATGAAAACAGGAACAGTTCTACTTTTCTATGCACCTTTAAACACATTTTCTTGAATAAAACAAGCTAATTCCAATTTTTAGGCCAGCTGTCAAACATTTTACGGTGATATTTTCATTAGAAATTCTGTTGCTGTTGCTGTCTTAATCAACATCATTTAATTTCTGCAATTATAGTTATTATTGATTAATTACCTCTCAACTAATTTCTAGGTTACCATTTGCATTTATGAGTTATCTACAGCTGAAAAAATATCACCATTTAATCATTGTTTAATCTCTTTCACCACGTCACTCAATATGATTCATTGTTTTAAAACAATGACCCTCAAGAAAAAAGATGTCTTTCTCTACAGCAGAAAAAAGCAACATACTCATAAAAGAGACATGTACGTTCAACCACAGCTTCCCTCCTAATTATTTTGAGCACACACATACACAGTCACACTCCTGCACAAAGAATACCAAATACATTAATAGCCAATTAACTGCAGTCCTAACCAATAACAGGAAAGTGAATTTGGCCCTGAAATCCCCTGTTGCTAGGAGACAGAGACACTAGATAGTGAGTGCACTAGTTTGTCTGGAATTCACACGCTGCTCCAGAACTCTTAATGCTATATAATCAACACACAATTGAACCACTATGCACTAGAGAAAAACTGACACAAGCCTTTCTTAATAAAAGGGCCACTTACTGTTGAAATCCCAAAAAATGGTTGTGAATGAGGGTGACTTTATTAATTAAGATGCTGATGAACTAGAATGAAAGACCTCATGGGTAAAATAAAATTCATTTTCAACAGGCATATGTGAGAATCCTTCTTAAAGGTGTTAAAATGCAATGTGGCCATTGCAAAACATTATTCAGTCTCCAGACATCCTCCATCTCCACCCACATCAATGACCTTCACTCTGATAAAGGAACGAAATACTTAAAAAAATCTTTTTAGAAAGTATTATTGCACTTGATAACCACTTTTTAATACTCTTCAGATAATTTTTTTTTTGTTTTTTTGTAGATGTTGATTCAGAAAGCACGACCGGACAATTTCAAGACTGATATGTGGGAACATTACAAAACAAAGATTTGACTAAAATACTTTGCAGGGTCACTTGCTTTTCAGGACTCTGGGAAACGTTCTGCCTAATTAAATTTTAGGAGTTGACACACTGATGCCGTGAGTTTTCAGCTAGAACATATTTCATCATGTGCTGCCTTAAAAATGAATAAACTGTCAGAGCGGTGGCCTAGTAGTTAGCGAACAGGTTTCATCATGTTGGTGTTTGTGCGCTGGCCCACACAAAGTCTTCTCTTTGGGGAACTGGAATGAAATTGCATGCTCATTTATTTAGAAAATAGGCTAATCTGTTTATGCTTTTAGCTAGTAAGAATGCTGTACTCTTAGCTCTGTTTACCATGTTTAAATCCACAGAATTTCTCAGATTTTCCCTCAAAATCAACTCTAAATACGCCTAATACATATAGCTACAGCTACAGATGGTTAAACAAATGCAAATAAGAAGGGCTCAATCACAATTAATTATGTAAATGAATGTAAGAATAAAGACTTATTGGAATTAAGTATGCAAATATGATGACATCCTGACTGTTTAGACTGATTTAGATCCCAAATGCCAGTTCGCAAAAAACAAAAACAAGTGAATGAGTACATTATGTGATTCAAACTGAGTTTATTGCATAAATTTAATACTTTGGATTAGGGGTTTAGAACAAACCCTAGCCAGAATATTGGAGGGATATTAATACAAACTGCCCTGCAGATGCAGTAAAATTCTTATGCCAGTCTAGCTTTGTAATCAAGATGTCATCAATCATTATGCAAACAGCACTGTAGATATTGCTGGAAAGATTCTGGAAAGGTCTTTGCCCTCTGCTTTGATGCTATTAAATGCCAGTTTTTTTTTTTTTTTTTTTTTTTGAGTAGTCAGTTAATATGTTTTTTCTTTCTTTCTTTTTTCACTGTCGTAAGATTTGCCCACTTTAACCTTACACACCATGTATTATATTTGTTGCCAGTGGTTACTGGGTTATGAGTGAGTCAATGTGTTTAATCAAAAACGTCTTGAGGACTACTGTAGGAACAGATTATTCACCATTGAGCTGTCTATGACTAAGATAGAAGAAAATGGAAACAGCTGCCACTATGTGTTTTAGGCATAAAAGAACTGTCATCATTTACTCATTTAACCATTACAAACCCTTATGACATTTTCACTGTAGACCAGAAGAAAAAAAAAACATCAATATGACTACCATTTTGTAACGCCCCTGTGGACTGTCAATGTGTTTAATCAAAAACGTCTTGAGGACTACTGTAGGAACAGATTATTCACCATTGAGCTGTCTATGACTAAGATAGAAGAAAATGGAAACAGCTGCCACTATGTGTTTTAGGCATAAAAGAACTGTCATCATTTACTCATTTAACCATTACAAACCCTTATGACATTTTCACTGCAGACCAGAAGAAAAAAAAAACATCATCAATATGACTACCATTTTGTAACGCCCCTGTGGACTGTTTATTGTGGTTTCTTCCCCTTGTGTTGGTTTAGCCCGTACTAATCAGTAATTACCCTCATTGTGCTCACCTGTCTGCCACTAATTATCCACCATATATTAGTTCCTGTCTGTCAGAGCTTTAGTGTCGGTTATTGTTAATGTTACCCCGAGTGTGTGTCTCACCTACCTGAACCTGCCTTGTTGTGTCTACAATAAATGTCATTATTGGAATCCTTGTCGTCTTCGTCATCCTGCCTGCCTCCACACACCCATTTCCGTGACAGAATAACTGACCTAAACAACCACATGGAGATCGCTGCTCGTTTCCTCACCATTTGTTTCCTGTTTTCTTCCCCGCGGCATGGAGATTGCTGCTCGTTTCCTCTTCCTATCCCGCCAAGATCTCCCGTTCTACGAGTACTCCGGGGAGTTCTGCAAGTTCGCTGTGGCGACGGCGTTGGATGACGCCACCCTCAATCGTCTGTTCTGGCTTGGGGCCAACTTCCATCGCCCCGTGGACCT